TTGATTTGAGGGTTTGTTTTTTTTTTTTTTTTTTTTTTTTTTTTTTATTGCTTATTACTTTAGACCTGTAGTTCTCAACACTGATAGCACTTAACAAATCTTTGCCTGGGCCCCATTTTAGAGGTGTTCAATTATTCTGAGGTGGGCCTTAGATATTACTATTTTTTTAAACACAACTTTCTTTCATGTGCAGACAGGGTTGAGAACCACTAGATCAATGTTAGTATTCCTGTTTAAAGGAAATTACTAATTTGAACTGAAGCAATGCCTGTTAATTAGCTTTGTTTTTATTAKTCTCCATTGATGACTTTGTCACAAGTAATTTATAGTGTTGCTGTCACTTTTCATTGTTAAAAAAATAAAGMAATTTGTTTTGTAGTTAAGTATCAATGACTAAGTTAATTAACATTTGTACTGCATCCAGAATGTTGGCTTTGTAATTTAGTAACTTGTCCTTACTTGTATATTTTTTTGTTGGTGATGACAGTAAATCCAAAATTCAGAAAAGGTAGTAAATTCTAAAGGGGAAATTTTTGACATTTTGTATGTACTGCAATATTTAAATATGGGTTGACAATAAGAACAGAAGACAGTGTCTGTCATTGTGGTTAGAAATGGTTTTAAAGACTGTACTGCCACTTTCTACCTATGTAGCATTAAACAAGTTATTTTTCATCTCTAAGCCTCAGGTTTCTAACCTGTAAAATGAGAAATAATAAATAGTATCTACCTCGTACTGCTTATCGTCAAGCAATGTTCTAAGTACTTTCCATGAATTATCTTGTTTGATTTTCAACCTTATCTTAAGGTAGGTTGAAAAGATCATTAGAATAATGGTAGTTTGTTCATTTCACGTGTACTGTTATTCAAAGTTTGGTAAGAAGTGAAATTGTGGAAAAAAATAAAACAGGAAGTTTTAAAAAAATAAAACGGGAAGTGTAGGAAAATGTATCTATTTTGCCAACTATTGTATTCCTAATGCCAAAAAAAGTGTCAGGCACATAGTAGACCATATTATTCTATTAGCAAATGGATTTTATTCTCTGTTAATATAAAGTGTTGCCAATAAGTTTGCTTCTTTGAATATATCTTACAAAACTAGGTTATTTGCCCAAAGATGTGTACATAAAAAGTTTTTTTTTTTGTTTTTTTTTTTGTTTTGTTTTTTTTGGTCAGGAGAGATCAAATAGTAAAGTGTTAAAAAATAATCTAAATTCTGCATGATGGTAGGAAAAAAATCCCTATGATGGAATTCTGTCATTTGAAATGTATTGACTGGAAAGAGCTTCAAGAAGTATTTTGTAGATGATAAGAACAATTTCAGAGTAATACATAGTGAATTCATTAAAATATGCACACAAAATAAGACAGAAGGTACATAACAAATTATGGATAATCAACTCTAGAAAAATGTTGACATTTCTGAGAAGGATAATGGGATAAGAAGTACTTTCACATTTCTATAAACTTTTGTGCCATTTTAGCAGCTTTATTGACTTGTGATTAATATGCAGTTCACCCATTTGAAGTGTATAATCCAATGGCTCTTAGTATATTTACAGGTATCTAACCATTAGGGTCAATTCTAGAGCATTTTCATCACATAATAAACTTTATAACCATTAGTAGCCATTCCACATACCTTCCAGCTTCACTTGTTGGCCCAAGGCAATTACCTACTTTCTATATTTTTAAATTGTTTTTATGGCTAAATGGAGTCCTGTTGTATATATCTTCATTTTTGTGAATAGTGCTACAATAAACACAAGACTGTAGATATCATWAGCATACTGATTATTTTTCCTTTGGATATGTAACCAGTAGTGGGATTGTTAGAACATAAGATAGTTAAATTTTTTTCCACATTTTTTTATTGGTGCATAATAGTTGTACATAATGGTGGAATTTGTTGCATACTTGTACATACATATTATATAATGTATGTATAATGTATACAATATCATTCTCCAGTATTTCCTCTTTTCCCTCCAATTCTCTCTCACTCTGGTCTCTTGTACTTTAATCTCCCATTTTTATGAGATCCCTCCCCCATTTTACTTCTCCTTTTTCTTCTTTAGTGTCCACATGAGAGAAAACATGACCCTTGACCCGAGTTTGCTTAATGTTCTAAAGTTTATCCTTTTTCCTGCAAAAAGCCATAATAAATTTTTATAATTTTTTAGTTGTATATGGGCACATTACTTTTATTTATTTATTTTATGTGGTACTGAGGTTTGAACCCAGTGCCTCACACAGGCTAGGCAAGTGCTCTACCACTAAGCTACAATCCCAGCCCCATAATTTCATTCTTTATAGCTGAATAAAATTATTGTGTATATATACCACATGTTCTCCATGCATTGATGGACACCTAGGCAGGTCCAATAATTTGTTATGAATTGCTGCACTGAACATAGGTGTGCATCTATCACTATAGAATGATGACTTCAAGTTTTTAGGATAAATACTGAGGATTGGTATAACTGGATCGTATGGTGGTTCTATTCCTAGTCTTTTCAGGAAACTCCATACTAGTTTCCATAGTGGTTATACATAATGTACAGTCCCACCAGAAATGTAATAAATGTCTCTTTCTCTATATCATCTTCAGCATTTATTATTGTTTGTATTCTTGATGGCTGCCATTCTGACTGGAATGAAATGAAATCTCACGGTAGGGTAGATTTGATTTGCATTGCCTTAATTGCTAATGATGTTGAATATTTTTTCATATATTTGTTGGCCATTTGTATTCTTTTGAGAAGTGTTTGTTTCATTCATTTGCTCATTTGTTAATTTTTTTTTAGTTCTTTATATATTCTGGGTATTAAAACTCTCCCTGAAGAGTAGCTAGGAATGATTTTTCTACCATTCTGTAGGGGTTCTCTTCGCATTAGTATTTGTTTCCTTTGCTGTGCAGAAGCTTTTAAATTTGATGCCATTCCATTTATTAACTCTTGGCATTTCCTGGGCTTTAGAGGAAGTCATCCTATTTGTTGGAATGTTTTCTTACAGAAATTATATAGTTTCTGGTCTAAAGCATAGGTATTTGATTTTGTTGTTGTAGGTGGACACAATATATTTATTTTTATGTGGTGCTGAGGATCAAACTCAGTGCCTCACATATGCCAGGCAAGTGCTGTACCACAGCCCTGGTATTTGATCCATTTTGAGTTGAATTTTGTTCAGGGTGAGAGATAAGAGTCTAGTCTCATCCTTCCACATATGGATAACCAGTTTCCCAGCATCATTTGTTAAAAAGACTGACTTTTCTCCAATGTGTGTTTTGGGCCTTTTCATCAAGGATCAGATGACTGTATCTAAGTGGGTTTGTCTCCGTGTCTTCTAATGTACCATTGGTCTATATGTCTGGTTTTATGGTAGCGCAATGCAATTTTTTTCTTTATTTTTCCATTACTTTTTTAAGAATTTGAAGTCATGCAGACTGTGTTTCCTGCATGATGTATTACATTTATTACATTAGAAATCAACCACCTTAAGATATACAGACCCCATCCTAACATGTCAACTATTTCAAAATTGAATGGTACAATTATAAATGTCTCAGAGGTCAAGGAAGAAAGCACAAAAAAAGTAAGTAAAAAGTGCTTTGAACGAAGTGATAATGAAAGCTTAAAATATCAGGATTTCTGGGATGAAATAGTATTCAGATGAACATTTAACATAAAAGTACTTGCATCAGAAAGAAGATAAAATAACAACCATATTTCAAATTATGTAGTAGGAAGGAAAAAAAAGAGTAGGAGCAGAAATATATGAAATAGAGGAGAAATAGCTAAAATTTGATAAACAAGTCTAATCAAGGTAAAAAATAACAATGGAAAGGGACCTATCAAAATAACTCTACATTGTGGCTCAGTGGTCAAGTGCCTCTGAGTTCAATCCCTGGTACCAAAACCAAAACAAAACAACAGAAAAACATCCTACAGATGCTAAAAATATACTAAGGTGACATTACAATTGTATGGCAACATCTGTAATAGCTTATATAACATGGTCTATATTAGAGAAGGATCCATGTGTTGCTGAGATAAAAGTGTATTCAGTCATTGATGGATGAAATATTCTGTATATGTTAAATCTAAATTATCAATTGTATTTTTTTACTTCTATAGCTTCTTTATTTAGTTTTTGTTTGGAGGCTCTATCTAGTGGTGACAGAGGCATGTTAAAGTTAACCAGTACTACTGCGTTATGGTCTATTTGATTCTTGAAACTGAGAAGGGTTTGTTTGATATATGTAGATGCTCCATTGTTTGGGACATAAATATATACAATTGTTAGGTCTTGTTGATGTATAATTCCTTTAAGCAGTATGAAGTGGCCCTCATTGTCCCTTCTAAGCAACTTTGGCTTTATGTCCACTTTATCTGATATGAGGATAGAAACCCCATCATGTTTACATGATCCATGTGAATGATATGCTTTTTCTCATCCTTTCACCTTTAGTATGTAAATGTCTTTGCCTATGAGATGAATCTCTTGGAGACAGCATATTGTTGGGTCATGTTTTTTAATTCAATCTGCCAGTCTATGTCTCTTGATTGATGAGTTTAGCCATTAATATTCAAGGTTATTTTTGAGATATGATTTGTATTCTTGGTCATTTGGATTTATTTCTAGTTGTTAATTTACATTAGTTTCTCCTTTGATTGACTATTCCTTTAGTGTAGTTCTTCCCTTGGCTAGTTTTCACTTTTTAAAAATTTTATCTTCATGGAATATTTTGTTGAGAATTATCTATAGTTCAGGCTTTCTAGCTGTAAATTCTTTTTAACTTTTGTTTGTCATGGAATCTTTGTATTTCATCTTCAAATCTGAAGCTTAATTTTGCTGGATATAG